GGATCGGAATCAGGGAAGGCTGATTCGATAGCTGCAGTTACGTCGTTCTTTCAAACAGTCTATTCTGAATTCCTACTCCGCCTCTTTCTCTTTGCACTCACTCCCGTCAAGGCTTAATTGCCTTTTTAAAGGAAGGTGTCAACCTGGCCACATATAAGCTAAGGTACCTCGCTCATTAGTCAATCTATCTTCCCCTGCATGGTCAACCCTTGGTTTGGGGTAGGTCTTGGTGGGGTTGTCAGGTCTCGTCTTTGCAATGAGGAATAGCAAGAACTGAGTGCCTCTGAATGAGCCTGTGTTTAGTAGAAGGATAGGCTACTCTTTGTTGTCACTCTGATCTCAAACGGAGGTCTATAGTATAGGTGCTATGATCTTGATGGAAGGATGAGTCATGCTTGGCTCCGCTTTTACGCTTCGTAGCTTCGTCGAATTCTCTTCAACCATATGGCTTGACATGTGCATGAGCTGGCAGCAACGAACTCAGCTTCAGCAGTTGATAGAGTGACGATTGACTGTTTCTTTGATGACCATGAAACAACCCCTGAACCAAGGATAAAAACATAGCCTGAAGTACTTTTTCTATCATCTTGATCCCCTGCATAATCACTGTCAGTAAAACCAATCAAGTCTGACTTCTCTCCCTTCTTGTAGAACAGCCCAATGCAGGTACCGTAGCATCCTTTTGGCACCTAGCAAAAGCATCTCTGTCGGATTCTCCATCTATCTGTTGATGAGACTCACTGAATATATTATATTTGGCCTTGTTGCTGTTAAATACATTAAACTTCCCACAATTTGCTTGTAAAGAGTTCCATCAACCTCTTTTCCTTTATGATCTTTATTTAGCTTCAAACCAAACTCAGTTGGTGTATTCACCGAATTGCAATTCTTCATCTGAAACCTGTCTAAAATTTCTCGCACATACTTCTTTTGAGAAATAAAAATTCCAGTAGCTGATTGAACAACTTCAATGAAGAAAATAATGCAGCATTCCAAGATCAGACATTTCAAATTCACTCATCATGGACTTTTTAAAATTTTCAAACACGGCCCTATCTCCAGTGTAAATTAAATCATCTACATATAAGCATACAAAAAACATATTTCCTCCATCTTCAATTTTAATAAAAAGAGTATGCTCTTATGGACATCTTCTAAAACCTTCCTTAAAAAAATAAGCATGTTGTACCAAGCTCTTGGAGCTTGTTTTAGCCCATATAGAGCCTTTGTCAACTTATACACCTTATTCTCATTACCTAGCTTCACATAACTAGGAGGTTGATCAACAAATACCTGTTCTTGTAAGTCTCCTTGTAGAAATGAAGATTTCACATCCAATTGGAAAATAGGCCATGAGTTTTGAGTTGCCAATGCAATCAACAATCTGATTGTGTCATGCCTTGCAACCGGAGCAAACACTTCTTTGTAATCAACACCAAATTTTTGCTTATAGCCCTTGGCCACCAAGCGCATCTTGTACTTGTCAACTTCTCCATTCTCCTTCAGCTTTGTTTTGTATACCCACTTGACACCTATAGTCTTGTGCCCTTTAGGAAGATCAGTCAGTTCCCATGTGTTGTTCCTTTCAATGGCAGTAATTTCATCATCCATTGCCTTCCTCCATTTTGATTCTTTGATGGCATCTTCAAAAACTATAGGATCACAATCTGAAAATAGAGCAAAATTAGTAAGTGGATCCTCAGATTGATCAATCCCAGTTACCTCATAATCTTGCATCCATACTGGCCTCTTTCTAACACGTTGGGAACACGAACTTGCTGCTGCAACAACATGTTCATCAAATTCTACTGCTGGTGGTGAAGTTTCAGCTGAAGTTGGGGCTTCATTTGATGGAATTTCAGGTACAAAAATTGCGAGAATTTGTTGTTGTAAGGGCTGCTGCCTTTCTTCTTCATTTTCACCGTCAAAACCAGCTTGTATTTGTTGTTTGGTAGTGTTTTCATCCCATTTCCAGAATCTTCCTTCATAAAAAATTACGTCACAACTAATGACAATTTTCTTGGTGATAGGATTGTACAATTTGTATGCTTTTGACATCTCACTAACACCAAGAAAAATGCATTTTTCTCCCTTGTCATCAAGCTTTTTCCTCTTTTGATATGGAATATGAGCATATACTATGCAACCAAAGATTCTGCAGTGGTTGACACTTGGTTTGCGTCCATTCCATGCTTCTTCAGGCGTCATGTTTTGAATAGCTAGAGTGGGACTTCTGTTCAAACGGTGAATGCTTCAGATGACTGCTTTAGGCCAAAAACTTATCGGGATATGACCTTTTGATAGAATAGTCCGCACCATGTTTAGAATTGTATGGTTCTTTCTCTTTGAAATGCCATTTTGTTGTGACAAATGTGCTGCTATAAGTTGCTTTTGAATACCATGGTTCTCACAAAAATTTACAAATGCTTGTGAGGTGTATTCTCCACCACGATCGCTGCGAAAAATCTTAATAGGTTTGCCTGCTTTTTTTTCGACCAGCATCTTAAAGCTTTTGAAAGCTGAAAAAGCTTCAAATTTCTCCTGCAAAAAATAAACCCAAGTTTTTCAACTATAATCATCAATGAATGTTATAAAGTAACGTTTACCATCATTCAATATTGGATTAATGGGTCCGCATATATCAGAGTGAACTAGCTCCAACACCTTCTTTGCTCTCCATGATTTTCCTTAAGGAAAATGATCTCGATGTTGTTTACCAACAGCACATTCTTCACAAATTTGAGAAGGAGTCTGAATTCATGGAAGTCCAGTCACTATGTTCTTCTATTGCAGCATCTTTAGACCACCAAAATTCAGATGTCCATAGCGAAAATGCCACAACCATCCCTCACCCATTAATTTTGCAGAGAAATAATTCTGAGTACTGTTGTCTAGATACAGTGGGAACATTCGATTTGTAGTCATGTTGACTTGAGCAATTAAGCCTAATTTCTCATCTTGGATGTGACAAACTCCATCTTTAATAAAAATCTCGTATCCTTTCTCTTGAAGCTGACCAATACTAAGCAAGTTGGTTTTTAAATCTAGAACCTAAAAGACATTAGAAATAATCTGATTAGATTTTTCTTTGGAGTGAATTCGTACACTTCCTTTGCCCATGACAGAAACTTTGGAGTTGTTGCCAACAGTTACAGAGTGGCGAAATGTTTCATCCAAGTCTGAGAACGCTAACTTTTCCCCACACATATGATTGCTACAACCAGTATCTATATACCACAAGTTTTGGTGGGTGCCTTGATTCGCATGACACGCCATCAAGAGGGAAACAACTTCTTCTTTCTCTGCAAAATTAGATCTTTCTCCAAATTGCTTATTCAAATTAGTTCGACACTCAGACTTATAATGGCCATACCTGTGACATCGAAAATATTCAACTTTCGACTTGTTTGCAGACTTTGATTTATAGCCATTTGAGTAGTTGTTGTCATGACTTTTCCATTTCCCTCTTGAATCAGTAGCATGATCATTTTTGTCCTTCCATTTACCTTTGCCAGGACCTGAACCTTTGGGATGTGTTGTAGCTTGTAAGGCTTGTTCTTCCTTATCTTGCTGGACAATTTTCTGCTCATGGACAAGTAGGGAGCTTTGTAGCTCATCAATGGAGAGTGTGTCGATGTCTTTTTATTCTTCAATCACACAAACAACATAGTTAAATTTTGCTGTCAGGGATCGAAGAATCTTTTCAACTATGGTGACATCCTCAAGCTTTTCTCCATTATCCGCCTCTTGTTCGCAATTGCCATTGTCCTTGAAATGTATTCTGAAACTGATTCACCTGTCTTCATTCGGAGAGCTTCAAATTCAGCACGAAGTGCTTGAAGGTGAACTCACTTTGCTCTTTCTGTCCCCAGAAATTTCTTCTTCATGGAGTCCTAAATCTGCTTGGAGGTGTCCTTGCAAAGAATGGTTTCCAAGATTGAACGATCAATCACTTGGAAGAGATAGTTCTTTGCCTTGAGATCCTTCAATTTTTTCCCTTCCACATCAGTTCTCTACTAGTCTGTTAGTATGGTGCCTGCTGCTGGTTCTACTGCTCCAACTTCAACAATATGCCAATACCCCTTTGATCTCAAAAAATTCTCCATTAGCATGTTCCAATGGTCATAGTGACCATCCAAACGTGGAATGGCTGGCTGCACAAAAGTTTTAGAGGCCATCGTTCTCTTCTACTGCTGCTGCAAAAACAAGAAACTAGGTGAAATAGAAATGAAGCTGTTGCTGTACGACTGTATCTCACACACTCTCTTTTTTTTGTTTTGTTTGGCACTCTCAACTTTACTTTTCTCACTCTCTTTCTCTCTACCAAGCTCTGAAACTACTGTTACAAATAAAGAAGAGAAAAAGAGCGTGTCTGCTGAAACAAGTAAAAGAGGACAGACTTTTACTTAATAAAAACTAAAGGACAAAAGTAGATTGGAGAAAGTAATTGTCTGTGTGTTTATTCAACAAAAAGAACTGCCTTTATATAGGCTTATACATAACGAATAAAAGCAAGAAAATAGGCACTATACAACATGCCAAAACTAACACCTACAGACTAAGTAAATAAAAAAACTAACTTGCTGAACACAAGAAGTTCCCAAAAGACTAGGACAACAACTAGCAAACAAACTCTTTTTCAACAGTGGCTGTAGTTTCATGAATCAAGCAGAGAGGATGCAGACCTGCAATTGTGGCTGCATCCAACACAGCTCTTCTTTGAAGGTCAGTGAAATAAACAGGAATCCCAATGCAGCAGTCCACTACAGCTGCATCCAGATTCTTCTCAGCTATGCTTTTCAAATTTGAAAACAACATTCCCAGAACTTGGGTAGGAGTAAACATCCTCATTTCACTCAAGTATCATGAAAAATTGTCAACCCGGCACCATAAATCAGGAATTTTCGGTGGTGAAAGGATAAAATTCATAGGATTTTCTTGTAGAGCTCTGCGAGGCATTTCTCTCTGGTCCACATCTGGCGATGCAAAAGTACATTTCGGTTTCAAAATGTCATTGCGAAATAAACCTTTAACGCGCTGCAATTATAAAAATAAAATTAATCAGTCATTTCTAGGAAGCTTGAAGAAAATTATTTGTTTTTAATAGGAACTAAACTGCTAATCATCTTTCTTTTTTGTAAAGTTCATAAGCGGCTACACATTTTGTATTGGTTGGTTCTATATTCACATAGTTCTCGTTGCACTGTACTTTGAGGTCCTGAAAAATTGCAGAATCTAGAAATAAAAAAATCCATAGTTTAAAAGAAACAGAATTAATTAAAAAGAAAAAATATATATATACACAAAATTAAATATATTTAAAATAACCTCATAGAGTTCACCAGATATAAGCGCTGCCCAAACAGACACCTACATGCTTTTCAAGATCTGGTTGCTTACCAGCAGTTGCCCAAACATAGCTGGAGCCCAAAAATTTTATAGTAACAATCAAAAGATTTTCATCTTATTCAGCAAAAAAGTTGTGTTTATCCAAACATTTTAGTTTTCAAAGAATTTGAGGAATAAATAAACGTGATCTGAAATACGAAAAATCTAAATCTAATATACTTGCATGTATGGACTCCTCTTGAACTTCTCTGCAACTGCTAACATCATCTCAAGGTACTTATTTCTCCTATCAGCTTTGGAGTCCAAAATTTCAAGAAGGAAAGAAACAAAACAGATGGCTGCAGAGCCACACTTCTCTTCCATAACATCCTATATGAAAAGATTACAGTTTCATAAATCCATCATGAAACTTCCACAAGATATGCATTATCAATAGAAAAGAAAAAGAAGAGCCTGGGTCTCTGACAGTAGTATTGACAGAATACCCCTTCTGAAGTAATAACTTCCGAGTAATTCAATTCATCAAAGAAACTCTAGCTTTCAGTAGGAATAAAAACAAGGAAAAATAAGAAAAAAAGCAAAGAGAAATTGAGAAAACTTACAGCTCTCTGATTAAGTTTATACGTAGACTCTAGCTGCACCACCAATATGCCAAATTGTGAGAAAGGCACGTTGTCTCTCACGTAGTTCCTAGCCATCTGCGAAGGAACGAACTCCTTCAGTTTCACAGTGTTTGGAGGAGGATCAAGTGAAGAAGTTTTTTAAGTGGAAAAGATGCTAGCTCAAAACNCAATTCATCAAAGAAACCCTAGCTTTCAGTAGGAATAAAAACCAAGAAAAATAAGAAAAAAAGCAAAGAGAAATTGAGAAAACTTACAACTCTCTGATTAAGTTCATATGTAGACTCTAGCTAAGCCACCAATATGCCGAATCGTGAGAAAGGCACGTTGTCTCTCATGTAGTTCCTAGCCATCTGCGAAAGAACGAACTCCTTCAGTTTCACAGTGTTTGGAGGAGGATCAAGTGAAGAAGTTTTTTAAGTGGAAACGATGCTAGCTCAAAACGGTTTGGCTAAAAACCTTTCCAAAAAAAAAACAAAAAAACAAATTAACATTAATTTAATCGAGTGATAAACTTCGATGGATCGACGTGCATGGAATGAAAAAGCAAAACCAAAGCTATTGAATCAATTTTCTGATTCAATTATTTAGCAGGAATCAAATTGCAGTTCATCTCAGAGACAAATTAGAGAAGAACCGTACCGGTATTTGCAGAATTATGACCGTTGGTTCACCAAAATAGAAAGTCATTCGCGCTAGATCACTGGAATGCCGATCAGCTACTCTGACGGCGATGATTATTCCAGCGAATAATCCGATGGCAGAGATTGTAAGAGCCTGAGTTAGCCATTAGTGGAGAGAGATGAGACATTTTGATTATATTTAAGCAGTTAAATCGGTGACTTTAATCTTAGAGATGAGAAACGTTTTGGTTGATATGAAGTTTTTATCTCATTAAACCACATATTCAACTTGTAACTTTCAGAATACCAATGCAATATATTAATATCTAATTAAACCACTCAACCAAAGTATGCTTCAGGATCCTATATGAAGAGTAATATCCTGTTGGAATCCTACATGAAATTGAAAAGGTCCTTATTGAAATCCTAGGTGGTGTCTAAATAGTATTACATAGCAAATGTAGACTTCAGAATTATATTAATATATAGATATAGATGTTAGAATGATACGTCGGCCCAACCGACCTATATTGTGAAGAAAGGCCCATGGTAGCCCTACTAAGCCCATAATGTAGAAAGAGTCCAACAAGAACTCCAAAAGCCTAAAATGCAAAGGGGTAAATCCAATATGAACTTGACTAGCTGCAAAACTACGAGGTAGCCCAACCGCTAAAATTGGGATAAGAGGCACAATGAGAAGTAAAAGCCCAAAAACAGGTGATAAGCACAAATTAGGTCTAACTTGGCCTCAAGCCCAAGAGATGGCTAAAGAACTAGAAGTTGAGCCAAGTGGCGTAGGGCTTCGCAATGTCGACCTTGGCTGTCCGAATGTTCTTACCGAGGTGGTTTGACAAGGACACATTACTTGTCTCCCTTTTCAATGCCTGACTACTAATCCTAAGTGAAAAATACCCAAGAAGACCAGCTTCGTTTGAATTAATATCATCTTATATTATTTATATTATAATATTTAGTTGATAAGTGATAAATTCTAATAATCTTTTTAAACTAATAATAATTATTGTTGGTTATATAAATAGTAATCTGATTATCTCTATTTTCTTAAGTATTCTAAGATTATTTGGTAATCTTAATTTTGTTACAATTTAACTCTTAACTATTAAAATTTTTAAATAGAAATGCCCTTATTCTGAAAACAATTTACAAAAATATTAATGGACTATATTAACCTTATGTACAAAAATTTTTGGACACAAATACCCTGAAGTTACAAAAATTACCCAAATCTCGTGGTCGGATTTGGCCACCACCATCGACTGTCGGCGTCGAAATGACTCACGATTAGCTAGATTTGGTTGGTCGTGCAGGGATTTAGCCAACCGGAAAAGGCCAGATTGCCATAGATTTGGTCGTCCTTTTTTGACCAGATCCATAGCCGCTAATGGCCACGTCAATGGCTATGAAGGGCCTTGGATTTGACTGTTAACAACTAGATCTAAGACAATCTAACCGTTTTCGGCCAGAGATTTGATTGTCTAGATCGACATACGATCGGCCAGATCCGGGCGATCATATGTCGTTACGATGATTGCCAGTGGTGACCGGCTGTGGTGGCCAGCTGCTGATAGTGGCTTGGGGTAGGTGGGGGTGATTTTGTTAGAAATTAAACTTTTATGTAGATGGAGTGTTTTAGCAAAATCTCTTATGTAAGGGGTTAAAGAAATGATTTAAAAAATAATATTATATTAATATTTAAAAAAGAAGGCAATTTAGCTATATAACATACCCACTAATTTATTCCTCCCAACCAAACATATAAATATAATGTACCCAGCAAGTTATTCCAACACTCCTAATAATTTTTAAGGTAATCTATCTTTTTATTAATCTAATACTCCTAGTAATATAAAATTATCTCAACCAAACGTACCCTTAGGGGGACTAGGGATGTGAAAATAACTAAGGGGTTTAGGATCAAATAAGCCCACCCTAATGAGTTGGATTTGGATAATAGAATTTTTCGAGCGGAGCGGATTTGAGTTTACATATTTTGATCCAAAATATTTTGGGCTGAGCATGAGAATGCTAACTTTGACCCTAACCTGCCTATTTGCCGCAAAAATATATAACTATAAATAAATAATTATACATAATATTTATCATTAAAATTATAAATATTATTTACAAAAGACTACATTATTTACAATTTTTTTTTTTCAAACAAAAGAAAACTCTAGCCACCAAAACTGTATTCCTCTATTGACTTGCTTCAATCTGCTTTCTTGTGTCTTCACTTTTGAATATAAAGATAGGTATGTAATTAAATTGTTTAATTAAGGTTTATTCGTATGGTATTTGATGCTTAAAGTCATGCAAATTTTAGACTTTGAACTTCTAAGTTTATTTATTTTGTTTATGATTTTTTTGGATAATTTTTGTGGTAGAATTATTAAACTTTGAGTATAAATTTCATATTAGATAATATCATTATTTACCATTTTGATTAATTTATTCTTAAGAAATATTTTTTAACCAAAACAAAAATGTAGTTTTTCCCAAATGGTATGACCGTGCTGGAAGAAGGAACGATCGTTCTTAGTTTCATAAAGCTACCTAGATGAACATTTCTCACAGTACGACCTTGTTCCATGAGATCCTTCATGCCTCTGCCCAAAATCATGTTAAGTTGCTCGCAATGGCATGATCAAGCTGCATGACCATTCCAATTAAGTCAAAAGTCAAAGTATTCAAATTCAAGTGATTTTGTGCTCTTAACAAATCCTAAAGACGGGGCTTTAAAGATCAAGTTGAAGTACAAGTGTTTCAAGAAGAATGATCACGTTATACGACCGTTCCTATTAAAAAATCTATCATTAGAAGAATGACATCGTTCTAGGAAGTCATTCATGCTTTTGGAATTTTCATGGATTTTAAGGAGCCAATGAACCGTTCTATGTTTAAAAGGATTATGTTTGTTAGGGTTGACTTATTCCTTTTTTTGTGTAATGGGTTGTGTCAATTTCGTTAAATAAATTTGTTTTGTTCGGGTTGAACCTATCTCATAATACCAACTTATTTGTTGACATGGATAATCATTTATGACTAGTTTGATATCTAGGTAAATTATTATGGTGGAAAAGTGGAGGATATCATTGTAACTTCAATCAATGGAATTTTTGTGGTAAAATTTTGTATTAATTTCTTTTCATTAAAATTGTATGTATATTATCAATATACATACAATCATGAAGAAATAGTGCAGTAGATTGGACATGGATGAAGTGTGCTGAAGTTGTATCTACGTATGCTGATCTTCTGTATATAAAATGTATAAATGGGTTGGATGGGGTTGGATTTGTATAAAAAGGTTGAGTGGGTTTAATTTGTACCAACAAGTTGAATTTTTGGAAACAGTTAAGTGGCCAAAATATGTAAACAAGTTACGTGGGTTGTATCTTGTCATGTTTTGGTTTAACCTAGGCCTTAATTTATTTGACAGAACATACTTGATTTGACTCAAATTTGTATAATTGCCAAGTTCAAAGACCTGCCAAATATTATTTACCAGTTCATCATAAATACTTTCGTAGAAAATGCAGGTCATCCTTGGTGAGGAGAGTTTCCATGGGATGTCTAAAATGTCGTTTAAGATCAGCTTAGCGAGACCTGCTCTAGCGTTTGATTCAGATGCTATTCTTGCATTATACTCAGGTTAGTTCTCTCTCCAATGGTGTCTGTGTGGGCATGAATAGGTTTGTGGTGCTCTTGACTTAAAGAATGATATTCCATACTTTCAGGAAACAGAAAGTTCCTGCAAGGCGTGCAAATTTACTTGTTATCAAGGGATCATTCCAATTTGAAGTCCGATTTTCAACATGGAAATGGCAAGGTTTGCATCATCTTTCACTTAATTTCTCTTCAGTAACGCGTTCCATGAAAAGCTAATCTTATAAAAATTCCATTTCATGAAGATAGTGTATAGTAACATAAAATACTCACCTCGCTAACATAAAATACCCCATCTTCCCATATCTTTTTGCAGATAATGGTTAATTGCATTGAAAATCAGCCTGCTGCAGAACTGGTGTTGGGAAAACATGTGTTCTTGTCTGTTGGCGAATACTATTTAAGGACAAAAACCGGGTAATCTGATTTCAGTAACTGGTCTATTTATACCGTATACTTTATTTTTGTGCCTTAAAATTTTTGAAGTCTATTTACTGACAATAGAAAAACAAAATGATAGGCTACATTAGCCTGGCAAAGTGTCCACACCGGCTGATCTCTTTGTTAGTACTTATTTTTAGTTGTATAGTTGAATAGAAACTAAAACAGTAGAGGTTAAATTACAGAATGCCAGTGGCAGTTACAGTTTTGTTTGTTGTCGGTTGCATTATTGAAGAAATATAGTTTTCAATTTTATATGTTTCTTTAATTGTCAATCCAAATTAGTCGTGGCGAGTAGGGTAGAAAGTTCATAATGAATGAGCCAATGTAAGTGCTGTTAGATTGCATATCGCATGTAGTGACAGTCTTTGAAAGGGTTGCCGAATAAGCGAAATATGGAATTTTTAAGGCAGATTATTTTCAATGGGTTAGTTTCATCTGCTCTGTGAGAGATCGTTTAAGTCTCGACGAGTGATGCGATTTCTTTTAAAACTACCAAGTGCCCTCTATTGGTTTTCAATAATGCTACATTTACACAAGTACTTACACCATTTTTTTTACTCCACGATGTGGCATCCTATGTGGCATATGCCACCTTAGTTGTCACATCATCAAGATACCACGTCACTTCCCTCCAAATTTTAAAAAAAAAAAAAAAATCTGCAAAAAACCCAAATTTTCACCTAAAATTTCAAACACTAATTTCTCTAAATCAGTTTCATATCTCCCGAAACTAAGAAACCCAAAAATTACTCCAAAAAATCCTGTCAACTTTGAAAATCTAGCTCAATCTCTGATCACAGCTTGTTCCCACGGAATCCGGCGGCCATCCAAAATCGATTTGGGGTGTTGGTTGTGTGGCTACTGCTTGGGGTGTGGATTTCGTGGCTGCTGCTTGTGGTGTCAATTTCAGGGCTGTTGCTTGGGCTGTGGGTTGTGTGGCTGTTGTCCTCGATCCCATGGAGTATGTGGGTTATTTTATTTTAATCCTTCCCCCATTTTAGGACCCAATAGGAGTATTTTGCTTGTATCATTTGCCGGTTAAATATATATACATACTATTATTTTGCTTATATCATTTTTTGGTTAAATATGTACACATACTTTTGGAATCTAATGATTGTGTAATATTTGCAACATTCATGTAAGGGGAAAGAACATTTGTGTTCTTTTTTCTGTTTTTTGGGGTTGTCGTTGGTGGGGTTTTGTTTTGCTGCTGCTGGGGGCTTTTGCTACTGCTCTTGGGTTGTTTTTCACTGCTGCTGCTGGGACTTTTTGTTACTGCTGTTGCTGGTGGTCTTTCAACTGCTGTTGCGGGTACTACTGTTGGGGCTTTTTTTTGCTGCTGTTAGGGCCTATTAAGGGATGTTGTGCTTAGGTGCCCCTGGCTGGTTTTTATTTTGCTCTTAGGGCTTGATTGGGCGTCTATAGGGTTGTGCATCCTAGTTTTCCTTTGTCTCTGATTGTTTGTTTCATCCCTCTCTTGTAAGTAAGGGCATGCAACTTAGGTTTTTTTTTTTTTTTATCTTGTAGGATATTCTTTAATCTTTGTATAAAATTACAAGTTACCTAAAAAAAAAAAAAGGTTATATACTAATTGACACAACTGTCTGTTTTTGATCCAGAAGACAACATTGGTCTACATTACCATCCATGCATAATAATATGTGCATTTATACAGATAATAATGAAATTTATACATTATCATAAAGCCTCAATTTCATTCATTACAAGCAATCTGGGAATAAATTACAACTGAATCATTAAAATTAGGGTAATCTCCCCTAAAGAGTGAAACTTGTGATAAAATACAAGGGACCAAACTACACAAAAAGAAACAAAACCAAGCAAGGATATACAAAAGCAACACAAACACAAGACAACCAAACTGAAGACTCCAGCCAGAAACTGCAGAAAATGCAGCAATCATGCTGCAGCTCCATACAAACCACTGTCCAGATCACTACTTCAATTCTAGCACACACCACCCTGCACATACTGCCCAAGACTCTTGGAAACTGCAGAAACAAACTGCAACCTCTCACACCTGCTCAATCTGCACAATGCAAAAACTACAACTTGCCCATGCTTCATTTCCAGCTCCTACCAATCTGCACCTGTTGCACAAAAATTATGGACTCTGCATAAAATGCAGTAATCTAAAGCAACAATGCATACACTAACAGATTAATAGAAACTATTTTCTTTGGCAAAATTGATGAAGAACATTCCAAAATGATACCATTCCCAAGCAGTCAGTATATCCACAAAAATATCAGGCCATCATGGTTGTCTCTAACCTTCTTGTGGCTATCTCTTATGCTTCGTGGGGTACAAACAAAGAAAAACTTATAAAGAGAAAAACAAGAATTGATTTTCATTAAGTAAATAAAACTGATACAGAGGGAGGCTTTTATAAGACTAATTAACTCTCATTTACATTTTTATTCTAACATTCCTCCTCAAACTAAACATCTTCTAACTTTTCCAGTTTTCAGTAATACAGCATCTTAAAACAAAAAAAATCTATTCTGCATTAGCTTAACTTCTTTACAGCAACATTCTCTGCATTAGCTAAATCTTCTCTGCAGCAACATCCTTTAATAACCAAAAATGACTTCAGCAATCTCTGTCCAACCGAAGTTCAATATGATCATGGGTTCTCCAACCATTAGACCATGTATAGGGAGCTCCAATCGTGTGAAGATGAATCAGGTTCAAAAATCAGACATTTGTTTGAAAGCACTGCAAGTGAGTTGAAGAGAACAGAATTAAAGTCCCATATAACCACAACACAACTTCAAAATTGGATTTTCAGCAACCAAAACTGACCTTCAATAACCACATTGCCATTTAGACTTGTTTGCAGAAATAATTTTGTATATCATTTAAAGAAACCATAACACAAATCTAAATTAAATAAAGAAATCAACATGCAAACATACATGCATTGACCGAAACTTCATCCTATTAGCCAGCTATGAGCTAAATTAGAAGCAAGAGTAAAATAATCAAAACTAGCGAAAACAATGACCAACAAAGCTTCCAGTATATCAAGCCAAACACTAACAAAATGAGAGTGCATTACACATGATTAATCATAAACATGCATATTTTATTTAGGAGAAAATATAGAAAAGCAAACTCAAATTACAATAAATGCTATAAAGTCTCCGGCTCTGAATTGAGAGTGTGATTTTGAAGTAGTGAGCTCTGATTTGCGACGGCAGCTTGTTCTGAAGACCTTCCCGTTTATACTTCTTTCACTCTCTTTATGGACTACGCACCGTGTTATACTAATTCCAAGCACCAAGTTTTTGCTGCTTGAATCACAATAACAATTGATAATGAGGTTCCCCCAGTTGTAATGTTTTCCAGAGAAAGTTCATTACTATTTAAATAAATTTTCACTTCATATTTATTTCTTTTGTTTCGATTTGCTGGTCTGATACATCTGTGAGCTCTTAATGCCATTTGACTGCTTCTGCTTGTTCCATATATAGTGCAGATATTGGATGCGTCCATTACTGAGGATAAAGTATCTGGACAAGATTTTTCCTGGAGATGATTTTCAACAGAAAATAAACCAAAAACCAGGGTCATGCTATCAACTCCTATACGATCCACGAATCACAAGGTTCAGCAATATTATTTTATGAAAAGTATTAAATTCGATAATGTTATGGAATGAGAATAAGCTATAAATATATTATACATTATTTCTAATATCAACTTTGATAGGCATGATCCACTAAATAAAAAAATAAAGAGAATAGAATCCTGCCCATCTTTTACTTTCCATCTCTACCTGGTTAGACATGGCGGTTGTGTATTGGATATCTTCGCTCCTTTGTTTGAGAATGTGACACAAAGTTTTGTCTTTGCTAGCTTACTCCTTTTGCCATCCAGATAAATATCTACAAGTTACTCTGGCGAAGTTGCAACAGCAGCAGCAACTCTGGCAAAGTTGCGACGATAGCAGCGACTCGCGAGGTTTTAGGTGGTGGGGGCTAAATGGGTTAGGATTATTGTTTGGTTTGCAAATTTAGGGCAGATGAATTTTGGGAGGAGATTTGAATTTGGGGAAAAATGGGTTACTAAAATTTAAAAAAGAAATACATTTGGGAAAGTGAGGTGGCAATTTGCTGATGTGTCAAATGAGGTGGCAACGCCATGTCAGCTGCCACATCATAAAGTAAGAGGATTGTGTAAAAACATGATGTAAGGGTAGCATTACTGTATTCCATATTTGTGCTCACATGCTTTGATCATAGTTTTATTTTGAATTCTTTGGAAATCTAATTCGCTTTGCAGAATGCACAATGGCTTCACTCGGATCGGTCCGCCAAGCGGGCAACAAGTTAATATTCATCTCAATTGGCCCTGCAACTCCCACTCAGTTATGTCTCCATGCGGCTTTGATCACACAACAACAAGAACTCTCTCCACTCGGCTCAGCCAACCGAGTGGGAGAAATTAAAAATCGAAAGTGGTTCTCCTAGTCAACTTCATTTGACTCGGCAGTCAGCACACCTTCCCCACACGATATAGTGGGCTGAGCCAAGTGGATTCTAAGCTACCTCAGAACAAGGATATAATCCCTCAAATTATTTATACAAGTCCAGATAACTCCATTCGACACATACTCAATCACCCAATGTGGCAAAAGTACGCCCAAGTAACAACTATAAAAGTCGTCACTCGGCTCGACTGGGACTACGACTTTACCTCTCTCTGGAACATCTTCATTCAGGGTTGGGGTTATTTCTTCATTCTTGCTGCATGAGCTTTGCCAAGTGGGTCTGTCCAAGCTCACCCTCATACAACTCTTGCTCGAGTACGACTGATTCGATGCATCTAAAGAGCCACTCGCCTGTAGAGTAATGGTATTTTCGTATCACCTCCTCAAAAGTCAAATCAAATACTCCACTCGGTTCAGAAAGCACAAGTGGCAACACTTGAAGGGGAAAGGTATGTGTCATTATCTCCTTTTAACTACCACTCTATTTGGTTAAATCTTTCTCTATTCGGCCCATTACTTAAATACATGCAACCCATTTTTCCATTGAGCTCACTCTTTATTCAGTCCATAACACATGCACATCATGCATATTAACTCTCCATTCAACTATTTGCTTAAAACATGCATATCATCCATGTCACTGCTCCAGCTTCAATCAAATGTTTTCAACAACAAAGTCGGTCACGTCGACTCGGCCACATAGCTCTTAAAGGTTTCAACTACAAGTCGGTCACGCCGCCTCGACTGCAAGCTCCATACAAGCTCCACTTGGCATAAACCTTCGGATTGACCCTACTCAATCCACGGATCTACACCTTCGGATCGGCCCTACCCGATCCACAGATTTACACCTTCGGATCGACCCTGCTCGATCCACGGATTTACACCTTCGGATTGACTCTACTCAATCCATGGATCTACACCTTCGGATTGGCCCTGCCCGATCCACTGATTTATACCTTCGGATCGACCCTGCTCAATCCACGAATCTACACCTTCGGATCGGCCCTGCCCGACCCATGGATTTACACCTTCGGATCGACCCTGCTCAATCCACGGATTTACACTTTCGGATTGACCCTACTCAATCCATGGATCTACACCTTTAGATCGGCCCTGCCCAATCCACGGATTCATACATTCGGATCGACCTTGCTCGATCCACGGATTTACACCTTCAGATTGACCCTGCTCAATCTACAGATTTATTCGGATCGACCATGCTCGATCCACGGATTTACACCTTCAGATTGACCCTGCTCAATCCACGGATCTACACCTTTAGATCGACCTTGCCCTATCCATGGATTTACACCTTCGGATCGACCCTGCTCGATCCATAGATTTACACCTTCGGATTGACCCTGCTCAATCCACGGATCTACACCTTCGAATCGGCCTTACTTGATCCACAGATTTACACCTTCGGATCAACCCTACTTTATCTATAGATTTACACCTTCAGATTGACCCTGCTCAATCTACGGATTTACACTTTTGGATCGACCCTGCTTGATCCACGGATTTACACCTTCAGATTGACCCTGCTCAATCCATGAATCTACACCTTCGGATCGGCCTTGCTCGATCCACAAATTTACACATTCGGATTGACCCTGCTAGATCCACGGATTTACACGTTCGGATTGACGCTGCTCAATCCACGGATCTACACCTTCGGATCGGCCCTGCCCAATCCATGGATTTACACCTTTGGATCGACCCTGCTCGATCTACGGATTTGTACCTTCGGATCGACCCTACTCGATTCACGGATTTACACCTTCGGATCAGCCCTGCCTGATCCACGGATTTACACATTCAGATCGACCCTACTCGATTAACAGATTTACACCTTCGGATCGGCCCTGTCCGATCCACGGATTTACACCTTCGGATCGACCCTACTCGATCCACGGATTTACACCTTCGGATCGACCCTGCCCGATCCACGAATTTACACCTTCGGATCGACCCTGATCGATGCACGGATTTACACCTTCGGATCGGCCCTGCCTGATCCACGGATTTACACCTTCAGATTAGCCCTGCTAGATTCACGGATTTACACCTTCGAATCGGCCTTGCCCGATTCACGAGTTTACACCTTCAAATCGGCCCTGCCCGATTCATGAGTTTACACCTTCGAATCAGTCCTGCCCGATTCACGAGTTTACACCTTCGGATCGGCCTTGCCCGATTCACGAGTTTACACCTTCGATCGGCCCCGCCCGATTCTTGATTTTACACCTTCGATCGACCCTGTTCGATTCTTGAGTTTTCACACCTTCGATCAGCCCAGCCCAATTCATGAGTTTACACCTCCAATTGGCCTTGCCCGATTCATGAATTTACACATTCAATCGGCCTAGATCGATTAAAGGACTTGCATCTCAAATCGACAAGTTATCGACCCAAACCACACAACGATCCATCCGACCTAACGAGCTGCTATCACTAATCCGCTCAATCTACACTCATTCGATTAAATCCACTCTTTAAGCTAAATACTCTTTAACTTACAGAGTGGCAGGATAACTGTTAGGGCAAAAAATCGTCTTAGGCTTAACGAGACCCAATAACGAAATAAACATGTCATGACCCAAGGCCTCAACCCAATCCTGATTGGGCCTACGCTTAAAATCACCTTGTGAAGTACTCACTCTATGAGTTGGATTATCCTATAAGTTAAGCTAAACTGGGTTTCAGCCCATTAGCCTACAATAGTCTATAAATAGGAAATCAAAATCCCATTCTATTTCCTCTTCTACTAAGATTCCAAATTTTACTCAAACTATTAAACTTAATCTGATAAGTTCAAGAAATCATATCTCTTTCATGATAGGGATTATCTCCCAAAATAGGACTTAGTGTCCTACTAAGATTCCAAATCTTATTTAAACTATTAAACTTAATCTGATAAGTTCAAGAAATCATATCTCTTTCATGATAGGGATTATCTCCCAAAATAGGACTTAGTGTCCTACTAAGATTCCAACCCCTTGGGTTCACTATAAAAACAAAGGCTTGCCCTCTCATTAGGGGGTAATCTCCCATAGTCAATCTACACTACTCAAAACCATCTATTTACTCCTAAGTTCTTGCTCCCAAGAACCCGACGCCTCCACCATAGTCCAAGCCTCCGACAAGACTCCTAGTAATTCTTCATCTCCTTAATTTTTATCAAATAATCTCTTTCAGCCTCACTGACTTGAGTGTTGGAGTGCCTATGGCAAACACTATTCCGGTGTTTTCCGGAAGCTTCACGCTTGCCCTTTCATGTGTGCAAGTCCAGCGGATTGTCAGTGTCCTCAACCTCACAGGATCAGAATCTATTTTCATGACGGTAGATTTTTGCATCCACAATTGCTTGAACAAAATTGAGAGGATTGTTCATTTTTGGGATATAAATTACGTTATTTGAAAATTATTGTTAACAAATTCTAAAAGTTCTGAAGAGGCATTAACGGGGAAGCTCCCTTTTTCTGTTGCTTTGGCTATAAAAGTAATATAAATTTTTTAAGACGGTTATGTCTACCCATCAGCGGTTATGTCTTTGGTTTGAGGATGGATTCTTCTCATGACTACCTGCATGGTCAAAGGTTGGTAGAGACTCTAGTTTTCAAGTTGGCTTCGCAAAACGAGAAAAAAAAAAAAAAAAAAAAAAAATAGTAGATTGTCATGCCTTAAAAGAACATAAAATGGAGTAGTCTTGTCAACTTTATACATTATCAAGATTATGTTCATTTCACTTCTCACTTTGTAGAATGGTTAAATTGGTGAAAAGTTAAAGGAAAAAAATGATAAATAAAAATTTATTTATGAAAAATATAAAAATTAGATGGTTTCTAAATGAACTTGGTTTCATTTCTAGTTTGGATTTATTGACTTTGCTTCTTAAAAATGTTTGAAGAAAAGGCTTCAACTTGGTCATCATATGCATAAAGCTGAAGTCCCAACAAAAAGAGGCATCCATTTGAAGGTTCTATCCAAATTAATAATCCTTTTATTTACAATTTTATAATAAAATTAAAAAAAATATATACTCCAAAATAACAAATGAGAGAGCCAAATAACAATATTTTTAAGGCAGATGAATTTCTGTTGATATTTGTTTGTTTATTTGATATAAAATTATTTAATAAACAAATTAATTTCGTAATATATATATATATATATGTAAAGCCTTTGAATGAGCTTAGGACAATGCCAAACGGCGTCTCGCACCTGGGGTGGGCCGGTACCGTCAGACCATTCTTCTTGTTTTGCCACATGTATCTCTGTCAATTTTGCATATCAACTCGGGATAATCACAAATAATTAAACTTAAAAATTCGATGTTTTCTTCTTCCACAGCAACCTTTATTACGTACTGAATCCTGTTGTCACGACAATCTACTTTGTCTAGAAGGAGTTTGGCTAGTTTAAGTGCCTTCGAGGGTAGCTTTTCATGGGGCAACTTCTTGCTGCCGGAAACTGCAAGTTTGATACAGGTTATCATATAAGAATTATGAATTATTTTTTGAGTTTGAAGGTTAACAAAGAGAAAATTTAATTATATTGTTGTATGAAAAAAAAATATTTAAATAAATAAATAAATTTTATCATATTATATGCATGCAAGTCATTATATATTTATTAATAATCCAATATTATCAATAGAGTCAGAATTTTGTCTCAGTGGGGACAAGCTAAGAAATATCAAATACTATTATCCCTAAAAACTTGATTTCTTTTAACCAAGAGGTTGGTCTGATGGTCAAGGAGGAGGTTTGCTCTTTTTTTTCGAGTTTTAAGTTCAAACCTCCTTGACCATCAGACCAACCTCACTTAACCTCCACTTAGCCCATAGTGGCTCTATCCCTGATTATAATATAGCTTTTAAGAAAATGTTTTAGTTAACTCACATAAATATTGTTGGAGTTGTCGACTACTTCAGCATTAATGGGTAACGGAGACGCATTTGGGGGTCTCGCTGCCCAATCAGCGGGCGGGGGCAGCGCCCCCGAGCCCGTAGGCGGTTTTGGGCTTTTCCATGTATAACCGCTGTAGGATTTCTTTTAAGTTATTAATTCTTTTTTGGGTTGGGCTTAGGAATAGGAATCCATGTAAAACTAGGTTTAATCTCTTAAACCTAGTATATAAACATACTTTTCTCTTGTTATGAGTGTGAGAGCAATTCATTCATTGTAAACGAGAGAGGTGAGGCATATTTCAATAATATTGACTCAGCTGGACATAGTCCACATTGGGTGAACCAGGGTAAATCGCGCGTATAATTTCTTTGTTTACTGTTTGTTTTGTTTTACTATTATTATTTTGTTCCTGTTGCTTCTCTATTTCTTTCAAATATGACCAATCTTTAAAACTAAAACAATAATTTGATTGCACAAATACCTAACAAGTTGAGGACTTAACTGTACTGTTAAGCATCAATAGTAGCCACTTTTTACATGGAAGCAGGGAATCATTCATTTATGCATGCAGGAAGAATGTTTCTAACCGTAATTAACTATATATAATTAAACTATGATTAATTAGGCATTTGATTTAAATTTCAAAAGGATAAAATTGAACCTATCTGGTTTAAGTGCTAAATTTTTTATCAGTATCAAATTGTGCTGAAAGTGTTGAAATTAATCTAGGCATGTTGAAGGTAATAAAATTATAAAAGACGAACTCTTTCAGAATATCCTACTGATTTTAATCAACAAATAAGCATCGTATAACACAAAATTAACAGAAAAGGAAAGGGATAATATCATATTAGTCACTAGTTCGAAGTTTCATAAACTAATTTTTAAACACAATTTTCTAAAACAACTACAACAAGACATTTAACAAACTAATTTCATATACAAATAAGCAGCATGAAATATGAATAATCAAGGCATATACTTAAAGTTGTTAAAGAAAAGGGAGACTAACATAGGTTGAAGCATCTCTTCAAAATTCCTTGCTGAATTTGATTTGCAGAGTCACGAGACATCATGGGTGCTCCAGCCAAGACATGCAACGCTGTCCTCCCCATCAAACTCTTGGTGGCTAAACTACGGTATTCATCAAGCAAATTCAATGCAACATCTAGGAAACAACCACCAAATATCATGAGTAATACATACAAGGAAAAGTTAAAATGTGTAGAGGAAAAAATAAAAATAAATAAGGTTTTTTTAATTTATAGTAAGATATATAGAACAAATGTTAAAATGTACAGTGAATACATATCTAGTTAGGATTTTTATTCGTTAAGGACTTTGGTAGCTCCAAGAATTGTTTTAGGATTAGAATACCTTAAATAAGTGATGCATTGAATCTTTTGGAATGTAATCCATTCAAAGGTTTTGAGTAGTTATTAGGTTTGAGAAATTAACATAATCCTTGATATTTTATATTCTAGTGAAGATAATATTTCTATATTGTACCCTGTGGATATAAACATATTTTTAAACCACATAAATCTTATGCGTCTTCTCTCTCTTTTTTTGTTAATTTCTTAAATGTTTTATATTAAACCTATTTGTTGTGCGTTTGACCAAGTATTCAGTACCACCATAAACTAGGATTTTAACAGGCACACACTCCTACAGTGATTGAATTAATTTATTACTAATTTCTGTCGTTTTTCTTTTACTATGATAACAAAAACAAAACAAAACAAAATTATTTTATTTAATTAACAGGTAACGATTTTTCTTATTAATAATTTTTGTACAATTTGGTATTAATAGTAATATTGGTTATGGAAAGTAATATCTTGGGTTTATATATAGATATCCTTAATTTAGTTTAATTAATCATATGTGAATGACATATAATTTCAATTAAAACCTACGTAGTTAAATTAGTTCAATCAAAAGTAAAGATTATCAAGTGAATGTGCAATTAACCCAGATATCAGGACATGCTTACCAAACAAATCAACTCTAGCGATCAGATTAGGAAGCAATTCGATGAGATCATCTTCTGTTAATTTATCTTTAGTGACTCCATAAAGGTACGTCACCATCTCTTTATAGTCGCCCTGAGTTGTTATTTGAATTGGTAACATCTCGTCATGTCCACGGATACTTGGTAACTCTATATTCTTCCCAAACATCAGCTTGACAGGTTCCACCCTTCCAGATGCAGCAGCAAGAAAAAAGCAGTACATCCATCACAATTTTGAATAGCCAAATCTTTTTTTTCCATCTTATTTACCAGTTCTTGAACAAACATAGTAGAATCTGCCGCAACTGCAATGTGGAGAGCCATATCATGGTTGTCTGAAATCCTAGCAGTTAAATACAGTGGAATATTCTCTGGATCTTTCTTAAAAACATCTCTAATAGTTGTGTTCCAGTCATTCCTCAATGCAGCTCTATACATTTTTTTTATGTATTCTTTTATCCTCAAGCAATCTGTAAACAAGACAAGAGCAAGTTTTACAAATAAAAATTGATTCATTGAAAGTGGTTTTTATATAAATTAATAGAATAATATATTGAACATAAGAAACTATTTTAATGTAACGTTAACACATCATGAGTACATAACTTAAGATCTATTGTTGAGAATCTAACTTTGTATATGTGTAAAACATTAACCTGATGAACCATGTTCAAATTGTACTATATGAACTATATGTCCATACAAAATTAATTTATAGAAACAGAGAGGCCACTTGTACTTTAATAAAATTTATACTCTTTAGGTCCATTTATTCAATAAGCCCATTGGTAAAATTTGTAATTTTTAGTTTTACTTTATTTACTTACTTTTACCAAATATAACCTTTATAAAATATAAATTAGTTGATGAACCATGTTCAAATTGTACTAATTAACGTTTAGAAGAGTGATTAACAAAGTAAAAAATTCTTAAACTAATTAATATTATAAGAGTGGTTTATGAAATATATAAAGTAAATAAAAAAAAACTATCCTAAAATGTAATAAATTAAATTATTATAAGTTCTCCAAATTTATTTATTTTTTAAGTAAAAACAACAATTAAATATTTAATTTTATTCTTAATTTTGGTATTTATAAAATACTTTCTAATAGGGGGTCTTTTTTCTATCTAATTAACTTTTAATGGATTTCACGATCTAGTAACATGCGTACATACATGCATATTTAAACTATTTTATTTCATTCCATTAACTTCATTCTCATCTTCAGGACAAAACCGCTACAGTGGTTTACTCTCAAAACAGCTATAATGGTTTACCCTCATAATCGCTACCATAAAACTCTCAAGCAGACCCTTAGTGAGAATTGTTGTCTTAATGGTTTACAATTTATCATATTAAACCGCTTGAATACCTAATCTAGATAATTTTTTTGGTCTAAATATAACATCTTTGAATTCTTGTCTCTAACAATTTTAATTCCTAGGACATAAGATGCTTGCCCATATCTTTCTTTTCAAATTTTGAACCTTGATATGATTTAGTCTAATTAATCATATCTATGCAATTTCCAACCAATTTTATGTCATATGCATAGCTAATTTATATTGGCAACTTCCAACTATATAGACAATGATCTAATGGACTCACGTTGTTCCTTAATGCAAGGATAACTTGGTGGAATTTCAAATACTAATCTTAGATGACTGTTTGAGTTCATACAAAGATTTCTTAACTTGTAGACTTTGTTTTCATGTCCTTTAATCACAAAACCTTATGGTTGTGACATCTAATTAGTGTAGCTCAAAATTCATTCTTGTAACTACTAACATGAGTATTCTTATTGATGTAAATTTAGCCCTAGGGAATAAGTATCAACAAAGTCGATTCCAAATTTTTATGTATAGCCTTTGGAAACTAGCCTTGCCTTCCATCTGTTTAGGTTACAATCTACCTTCAATTTCTTTTTCAGTATCCATTTACAACCTATGGGTTTTCTATCCTGAGGTAAACAAACTAAGTACCAAACCTTATTTTTCTTGTTAGATTCTAACTCATCTTGCATAGCATTTTCCTACTCTTTATAATCTATTTTACGCATCACGTCAACATATCAACTTTGTGATCAGGTCTCCTACACTTAATTTCTTGCATGTAACCATGCATGTTTAATCATATATTATCAATATAATTAGTATTCTAATGGCTATTATAAACTAAAATAATAGGCAATGGGCCGGTTTTGTATTATTTCATACATCAAGAGGACTTTTATTATTAAATCAAAACTCTAGGTAAATACCTTATATTATATTAATTTAATAAAAACTATAACACAAATAAAATAGTTTTTTTTTTTATTATAATTTATAAAAGCATCATAATAAAACTAATAAAACTAATATGATCAAGTAAATAAGTAAATAAGCAATTAGAATATTAGAAAAATTGGGTGCTTACCAAAAAATTTGTTACTATCCATTTCTTCCAGGGGTCCTTGGACTTTATAAAGAAACTCCACCATCCTTTCATGGCCGCCCTGAGCTGCAATGTGAATTGGTAGCATTTCCTTTTCTCCACGGATACTTGGTAATTTTTCATTCTTTTCAAACATAAGTTCAGCATGTCTCACCCTTCCCATTGCAGCAGCAATAAAAAAAGCAGTATTGCCACTACGATTTTCAATAGCAAGTTCGTCGCTTTGCATTAAATCTACTAGTTCACGGAGACAACTATAGTAGTTTTCCTTAACTGCAACGTGGAGAGGGTATGACACAACCCGTCCCGAATTTCCTCATCCCGTAGGATCCGGGTGCTCCCACAAGACTCGGATACCCGAGACGTGCCATGTAGAAAAACTGCGAAACCTGTTTAAAGACATACATCATCTTTCGTTTTACAAAAGAAAATAGTTAGATTAGGTTTAAGTGCTAAATTTTTTATCAGTATCAAGTTGTGCTAAAAGTGTTGAAATTAATCTAGGCATGCTGAAGGTAATAATATTATAAAGACGAACATTTGAGAATATCCTGCTGCTTTTAATCGACAAATAAGCATCGTATAACACAAAATTAACAGAAAAGGAAAGGGATAATATCATATTAGTCACTAGTTTAGTAGTTTCATAAACTAATTTTAAAGCACAATTGTCTAAAACAACTGCAAAAAGACATTTAACAAAATGATTTCATATATATATATATATATAATCGAGGCATATACTTAAAGGTGTTAAAGAAAAGAGAGACTAACATAGGTTGAAGCATCTCTTCAAAATTCCTTGCTGAATTTGATATGCAGAGTCACGAGACATCAGGGGTGTTCGAGCCAAGTTATACAATGCTGTATCCCAAATGTACGGATGGTTGGATAAATCAACGGTGGGTAAACTAGGGTTTTCTTTAAGCAAATTCAATGCAACATCTAGGAAACAACAACCAAATTTCATGAGTAATATATAGAAGGAAAAGTTAAAATGTGTAGAGAAAATTAAAAAAAAAAAAAAAACTATGTTTTTTAATTCATAGTAAGATATATAGAACAAATGTTAAAATGTACAGTGAATACTCATCTAGTTAGGATTTTTATTCGTTGAGGACTTTGGTTGCTCCAAGAACTGTTTTAGGATTAGAATACCTTAAATAAGTGATGCATTGGATCTTTTGGAATGTACTCCATTCAAAGGTTTTTAGTAGTTATTAGGTTTGACAAATTGACATAATCCTTGATATTTTATTTGTTAATTTTATATTCTAGTGAAGAAAATATTTCTATATTGTACCCCACGGATATAAACATATTTTTAAACCACATAAATCTTTTGTGTCTTCTTTCTCTTTTTATTTTTATTTTTTTATATTTATTGTTAATTTCTTAAATGTTTTATATTAAACCTAACTGTTGTGCGTTTGACCAAGTATTCGGTAACATCATAAACTAAGATTTTATTGAGCACACCTCCTACATTGATTGAATTAATTTATTACTAATTTCTGTCCTTTTTCTTTTAATAGGATAACAAAAACAAAACAAAATTATTTTATTTAATTAATAGGTAATGATTTTGCTTACTAATAATTTTTGTACAATTTGGTATTAATAGTAATATTTGCTGTGGAAAGTAATATCTTGGGTTTATATATACATATCCTTAATTTAGTTTAATTAATAATATGTGAAGGACGTATAATTTCAATTAAAACCTACGTAGTTAAATTAATTCAATCAAAAGTAAAGATTATCAAGTGACTGTGCAATTAACCCAGATGTTAAGACATGCTTACCAAACAAATCAGTTCTAGCAACCAGATGACGAAGCAATTCGATGAGATCATCTTCTGTTAATTGATCTTTAGTGACTTCATAAAGGTACGCCCCCATCTCTTTATGGCCACTCTGAGCTGCTATGTGAATCGGTAACATCTTGTAATATCCGCAGATACTTGGTAACTCTGTATTCTTCCCAAACATCAGCTTGACAAGTTCCACCCTTCCAGATGCAGCAGCAAGAAAAAAAGCAGTACATCCATCACGATTTTGAATAGCCAAATCTTGAACAAACACAATAGAATCTGTCGCAGTTGCAATGTGGAGAGCCGTATCATCGTTGTCTGAAATCCTAGCAGTTAAATACAATGGAATATTCTCTGGATCTTTCTTAAAAACATCTGTAATAGTTGTGTTCAGGTCATTCCTCAATGCAACTCTATACAGGTTTTTTATGTTTTCATTTATCCTCAAGTAATCTGTAAACAAGACAAGAACAAGTTTTACAAATAAAAATTGATTCATTGAAATTGGTTTTTATATAAATTGATAGAATAATATATTGAACATAAGAAACTATCAATAATGCTATGAATATGTGCATCACTGTTTTAATATAATGTTAACACATCATGAGTACATAACTTAAGATCTATTGTGAGAATCTAACTTTGTATATGTGTAAAACATTAACCAAGAACTATATGTCCATACAAAATTAATTTACAGAAACAGGGAGGCCACTCGTACTTTAATAAAATTTATACTCTCTAGGTCCATTTATTCAATAAGCCCATTGGTAAAATTTGTAATTTTTAGTTTTACTTTATTTACTTTCTTTTACCAAATATAACCTTTATAAAATATAAATTAGTTGATGAACCATGTTCAAATTGTACTAATTAACGTTTAGAAGAGTGATTAATAAAGTAAAAGATTTTTAAACTAATTAATATTATAAGAGTGGTTTATGAAATATATAAAATAAATAAATAAAAACTATCCTAAAATGTAATAAATTAAATTATTATAATTTCTCCGAATTTATTTATTTTTTAAGTAAAAACAACAATTAAATATTTAATTTTATTCTTAATTTTAGTATTTATAAAATACTTTCTAATAGGGGTTCTTCTTTTTATCTAATTAACTTTTAATGGATTTCATGATCTAATAACATGCGTACATATATACATATTTAAACTATTTTATTTCATTCCATTAACATTCTTTATTACAAAAACAATATATTCCTTTTCTAGTCTTTCATATATTCTCAGGATGGATCCAAGAATTAACTTTAGAAAGGCAAGTCTAAAATAAAATAATATAAACTATAGGAAAAGTAAATGAATTTGATCAAATCTAGAAACATGAATACAAATACAGTATGGTCCATAGAAAAAAATCAAACCAAATTAATGAATTGTTTTTTAGTGGGATCACTAACCCCCACTCATGACTAAGTGGGTCTGTCACTATACATTCTCGTCCTACACTCCTATCCAATCCTCAGTCAAACATATAGCCTTAGTGTTAATGATATAATAAATAAAAATATTATGTGAATGTATTTATAAGGTTAAACTATTGTAGTGGAAACTATTGTAGTGAAAAATATTATGTGAATTATTGGATAAGGGGTAACCCATCAACCCATGATGGGTTACCCCAAGCGACGTGGGTGGGATGAAACTGCCAAATGCAGTTTCTCTCTAACTGCTGCCATATAAAAGGAAAACCTTTTCCTTTTAGAAGGGTTACACTCACTGTCACTCTCATATATTCAAAAGGAAAATATGCTCTCTCTCTCTAGAATTTGGAAAACAGAAACATTCTTCGTGGTTTTCTTCCAGATTAACTTTGTTGCTTCAGAGATAAGGAAAGGAGGTATTTATGCTGTGTAAATTCATTGTAGTTCATTTATATACAAATGTGATTGCAATGGTGACTATGATCTTGGGATTATGTTAGGATATATGTTATTCTATTTAATTTCCAACATGAATGATAATCCCTTGGTCATAAGATCAGCTACCATCTCACCAGTGTACATAGTAGACTTTGATTTCTCCCTTCCATTATATCTTGAATATAGGCATAAGTTATGTTAGGAACTATTAGCTCCACTTTTTACCAAACAGATGACAGACTCGTTATCACAAAACACATAAACATGTTATCAAGTACACCCAATAGTAGGCTAGCATTAAATGTAGTACTTACAATTGTGCTACAAGATATATGTCCTGCTTTTATGGTTGACTTTGCAACACAAGCTTGTTTCCTACTTAATAAATAGTTGTTCCACCAATATATATATATACCACTTGTGGACTTTCTATCATCTATGTCACCTATAAAATCTGCATCACAATAGTCAATAAGTTCTAGATCATTTAAACCGGAACACAGTTTGATACCTTTAGTACCCTCCGGATGTCTCATAATCCTTTTCACAACTTGCCAATGAATTATTCCAGGTTTTGATTGATATATACTAACTCCAGCCACTCCTACTGCAGGACATATATTTGGTCTTGTACTGGTCATTACATACATCGGACTTCCGACTACTTGTGCATGAAGAACTTTGTCCATTTCTTTTATTTCGTTCTCATCTTCAGGACAAATCTTTAGTGAGAATTGTTGCCTTAATGGTTTACAATTTATCATATTAAACCAATACGTAATCTAGATAATTTTTTTGGTCTAGATATAACATCTTTGAATTCTTGTCTTTAACAATTTTAATTCCTAGGACATAAGATGCTTGCCCATATCTTTCTTTTCAAATTTTGAACTTTGATATGATTTAGTCTAATTAATCATATCTATGCAATTTCCAACCAATTTTATGTCATCTACATACAGTGACAATATAGCTATTTTATCTTGGCACTTCCAACTATAAAGACAATGATCTAATGGACTCACGTTGTTCCCTAATTCTAGGATAACTTAGTGGAATTTCAAATACCAATCTTAGATGATTGTTTGAGTTCATACAAAGATTTGTTTTCATGTCCTTTAATCACAAAACCTTATGGTTGTGACATGCATGTGAATGTCTTCTTTTAACTCTCCATTAAGAAAATCAGTCTTGACATCTAATTAGTGTAGCTCAAGATTCATTCTTGTAAGTACTTGATAATTATATTTTATACTATGATTTTGCATTGAATTTTAATAGGATTTAGGATACTTTTCATACAATTTGAGCCATAATTGCTACCTAATTCTATTAATTTGTCTTGGCAGGTCTAAACGATGATTTTTAGCATAAATGACAGTTTTGAGTGTAAATTGTCTAACTTGAGCTTGAAAACTCGAAATACCTGAATTCAGGAGCTTTGGAAAGCTAAGGAGAAGAGCTATAACTTTCCTGTTTTGGGTTTTTCCTAATTCTGACTGGACAAGGGCGAAAACTTGGCTTCAAGTCGTGAACAATACGCTGGGAACTGAAGAAAAACGTCTTTGGATGTGCTTCAGTATTTTTGCCATAACTTGAGCTGTAGACCTTGGATTGTGCTGATTCTTGAACAACAAGAAATATAATTGAAAGGGCTACAATTCATATGTTTAAT